TTACTACCTGTTGTTCAACCATTCCTACTTGTTCCTTCCTCCTATGTTCCCCAGTCTTTGGTAACACTAATCTACTCTTAACATCTATGAGGTCAGCTTTTTAAAAATTCCTCATATGAGCAAGATCACATAGCACTTGTCTTTCTGTGCCTGGCTTATTTCACTTAACCTATGAACTGATCCCAGTTCCACCTATGTTGTCACAAATAGTGGAAATTCATTCTTTTTATGGCTGAATAGTATTCCACTGTGTATATGAACCATATCTTCTTTATTCTTGAATTATTTGATGGAGTCTTAGGTTGTTTCTATTTCTTAGCTATTGTGAACAGTTCTGCAATAAACATGGGGGTGCAGGTGTCTCCTCCACAGTCTACTTTCCTTTGGCTACATACTCCTTAGTAGGATTGGTAGATCATATGATAGCTTTAATGTTTTGAGGAGCCTCTATACTATTTTCCATGATGACTGCAGTAACTTGCATTCCCAGCAACAGTGTACAAGGCTCTCTTTTCTCCACGATCTTCTCCAAGGCTTATTATCTTTAGTGCTTTTTTATAATAGCCCTTCTTACTGGGGTGATGGGTATCTCACTGTGTTTTTTATTTCTGTTTCTCTGATGCTTAGTGATGGTGAGCATTTTTTCATACACCTGTTGGCCACTTGTATCTTTTAAGAAATGTCCATCTAGGTCTATTGCTCATGTATAACTGCTTTTTTTGTTATCAAATTTTTTTCTTCTTGAATTTTATGTGCTGGACATTAGCCCTTTGTTGTCCCCTTCTACAGGTTGTCTCTTCATTCCATCAACTATGGCCTTACCCAAGCAGATATCTTATGGTATTTTAACCTAGCCTGTTCCCTGTTTTCCATCCCATGTGGACTGGATGTTGGTTTTTCTAGATTTTCCTGAATTTCCTCTCCTTATCTCAGAAGGACAGCCAACTCCAGCAATTCCCCCTGGGGTTATAAAAAGATCCTCCCATATGTTCTCCAAAGCAGTACTGGCTATTTTCTCTCTTTCCTTTCTTTTTCTGTCTTTCTGTCTCTACCTTCCACCACCTACTCTGTTTCTTCTCTGAGTTCTGGCCTTTTTCCTACACACCCACCCACAGTAACCTGCCAGTCTGTCTGCATGTTCATAGTTGTCCCCTGCATTAGAGCAAGAGCTCTAGGGGGAAGAAAGGGGGAGAAACTGTGCATTCTCTTCTCCTCAGCACCTAGGCCCAGTGGCCCAGCTAACATCATTCCCTTTGCCTGGAGAACTCTTCTCTGGATACAAATCATTTCCAGTCTTTCAGTGAGGCCCTTCAAAAGAGCAACTTCTACCCCAGCCTGAAAGAGATTCCACAGGTCTCGGTACACTTGATTCCTACCCTTGCCTTCCACCTTGCCTTAGGGTCTCCATTTACCTTATCTCTCCAAGCATTTTGCAAATTCATGAGGACAAGAAAGTGTTTGGGACATCAGATGCCAGTCTGGGTTTGAATCATAGGTCAATCCCCTGCCTGTGTAGTTGTGTGACTTTGGACAAGTCATTTCATCTTTTTAAACTTCAGTTTTCTCTTCTGGTAAGTGGGGACAGTATTACTTATACGATTTTGTAAGGATTAAATCAGATTTCATGTTTTTCGTTTTTGAGATACGGTCTTGCTATGTAGCCCAGGCTAGCCTTGAACTTGAGATCTTTCTGCCTCCTGAGCACTGGAATTATCATGCTTGGTTTAAATTAAAATAGTGTTTAGCAGAGTGTCATACAGAAAGAACTTAATGCATATTCATTGTTACTATTTAATTTCTTATTTGCTGCATTAGTTTTCTATTGCGGTATAAGAAATTATCCTGAAATTTAGAGGCTTAGAACAAGTATAACCATTTCTGTCTTTCATGGCTTCTTTGGGTCAAGAATTAGGAAGAGGCTTGGATGGGCCAATCTGGGGTGGAATCTCTCCTAAGACTTTGCTCCTATGGCAGTGAGGACTGCAGTCACATGAAGGAATTCCCGAGATGGAGACTCCACTTTCAAGACCTCGGCTCTTCACTATGCGGACCTTTCTATAGGACTGTCCAACGTTCCTGTGCCATGCAGCTGGCTTTGCCCATCAAGTCCCCAGTGAACAACCTGACAGTCTAAGGCAGAAGCCCCAGGGCCTTTTATGAACTTGCCTTAGAAGCCATATGGCATTCCCTCTGCCATACGCATTGGTTATCCTCTGATGCCTTGTGGGAGTAGACTACACAGGGGTATAAATGCGTGTACTCAGAACCATTAGGGGCAATTGTGGGGGCTGGCTTCGGCATTTTCATTTTATTTTCCTCTGAGGGAATTAGCAAGGCTTAGTTACTAAGGGACTCTAGCAAAGCAGACCACTGGTATATGTGCTGCCTAGAGAAGAGGTTTCACAAAGAAGGAAGAAGTGAACCAAAGGAAGTCCTTGGCAGTATTTCTTACCTCTTTCTCCCTTTGCAAGCTGGACTTCCAAACACCAGATCAGGTGACAGAAGACAAAGTACACAGAGCAATGATAGCCTAAGGGAATCAGGGAAAGCATTCCAGGAAGGGTGGTGTTTAAGCTGAGGCCTGCCTTGTGAATGGACGGTAGCTCAGTGAATGGAGACAAGGAATCTTCGAAGAGGAAAACTGTACATGAAATGAGAGAAGAGGGCAGGGGAGTCCCTCAGTGGTAGAGCATTTGCTTTACATGCACAGAGTCCTAGATTCAATCCCAGTACCACCAACACTGAAGAGCCAGGTAAAAATTCAATTTGACCAAAATTTCAAGTGATGAAAGGGGCAAAGCAGAGTGGAAGAAATTAGGTTGGTTTGTTTTCTAATAGAAAGTTTCACTAGAACTTATTTCAACAATGGAATTTTCTTTAACTGTGCTATACAATACAGAAGCCACCAGCCACATTGGCTATTAAGCCCATGAGAGGCAGCTGGTGCCACTGAGGAAATGGATTTTACTGATGACCTCAGAAGCTGAATTTTAAATTTTACTGAATTTTAATGAAGTTAAATTTAAATACCTGCATATGAATTGTACAGCACAGTCTGAATAGTAGACAGGGTGCCAGAGAGCAGGCCAGGCTAAGGTTTGCTCTGGAGGCAGTAGACCCTTCAGATCACAAGGGACCACCATAAGCTAAACCCAGAGCACAGTTAAGTCCTGGTCAAAGAGCTGGATGGTAACTCTGTTACCTCTCCCTGCCAGGCGATTTATAATTGATCAGGAAGCTTTGTACAGTAAGAGTCGAAAGACACAGAGATCTGGTTCTCAGATGGCAAAATTTGGTAGCCATGTTTTGGGTGTGGATTTTTTTTTTCATTGCATACACCTACCGCCTAGTGTCAAGGTCATAGTCACTAAGTTTTAAGAGGAATTAATAATGAAAGACAGGGCTGTAAAATAGGTACAGTGTGTGCGTGGGGGGGTACTTGTGGGAGAGGAGAAGGTGAATGGAAGAGATGAAGGTGAGGGAATATGGTTGATGGGCTTCATATACATATATGAAACAGAACAAGGAAACCTCTTGCAACTGCTTTAAGTAGGGTGGAGAGGGGATTGTGGGCAAGGAGATGGTGAAGAGATCTAACCAATGTACAATATAAGGCTGTTCGGAATTGTCACAATAAATCTCCTCTGTACAATGAATAGATGCTAATAAAAATTTTTTAAAAACTGTATATAAGTTATTTCACAGAATTTTTTTGGCAGTGCTGGGATTTGAACTCGGGGCCTCACCCTTGCTAGGCAGGTGCTCTACCACTTGAGCCACTCCACAAGCCCTCGGGGAAAAAAATACTACATATAAGTTAAAAAATAAAATAAAAAGAGTATCAACAGTGTAATGGCTGTGTCCAAACTTATACCTTTTGAGACAAGTCAAGCTTCTTCCCTTCCACGACTTTGTGGTAGGCCTTGGGAGGAGCAGGTGGAACAAGTAAGTTACTTCTCTTTTAAAAGTTCACAGACAAGAGCTGGGTGCTAGTGGCTCATGCCTGTAATCCTAGCTACACAGGAGGCATAGATCAGGAGGATCGCAATTGGAAGCCAGCTTGGGCAAATAGTTCCCGAAACCCTATCTGAAAAATACCTAACACAAAACAAGTAGGTGGAGTAGTTCAAGTGATACAGCGCCTGCCTTGCAGGCATGAGATCCAGAGTTCAAACCTCAGTCCCGCCCACCCTTCCCCCCCCACCCCCCACTTAAAAAAGAAAAGCTCACAGACAAAAGTGAGGTAGATGTGTTGGGTTCTGAGTTCTGGTACTGTCTAGCCACACTTGCTCTTTACGCCCTAGCATTCCCATTTTGTAAAGTGTCAGTGCTAAAGAGGGCTTCCGAATTCGTGCCCTCTCCTACTTTCTGCGCACTTACATACTGTAATAATCACCACGATCATAAAACAGCAGCCACACTAATTGAGTACACACATACACTCACCGTGCTCGATGCTTCATATTCCCCATTTCAACCAGTCCTCAGGGCTCTTTTTACGATCCCCATTTCATCAATGAAAACAGTGAGGCTCCATGAATTTAGGTTAACCAGTAGAAGGTCACACAGGGACAAAGTAGTTTAGTTGGGATTTGAATCCAGCTGATTGCAAACCTTGAGCTCTTAATCACGTGGCTATGAGCACGGCTTCTCTACACCGGTTGGGTTCGAAGGTTGGGTTCACACAAGGAGATATCAGTAATTTGAGTGCTTTGTGCTTTTTTTAAAAATGCATACTCTGAAACGTACAGCCCACTCGGATGTCACAGCAACAGCAACTGTACACAGCGGTCACTGCACAGCTGGGGAAAAAGAGACTTGGTACATGGCTCAAGGTCGCACAGGTAGCACAGGGCAAGGATGCACAGCCGGGAGTCCGCCTGCAGCCGGGGCGGCGCTGCAGCCCGGGCCCCGGGGGGAGGGGAGTGGGAGAGGCCACGCCCCCTTCGCGCACGCGCTCTCGGCCGGCCCGGCGCGCGGCGGGCGCGAGGACGGCGGCGGGGAGCGTGCGCGCGGTGACGTGCCGGGCGCCATGTTGGAGGGCTGGTGGTAGCGGCTCGGGGAGGTGTTCGCTCTCTCGGTCTCGCTCTGTCGCTCGCTTCCCCCGGCTCCCTTCGGTGCCCCCCCCGGTCGCCTGCGTGCCGGAGTGTGTGCGAGGGAGGGGGAGGGCGTCGGGGGGGTGGGGGGAGGTGTTCCGGTCCTCGGGAGACCCGCGGAGGGAGGCGGAGGCTGCGAGGGACTCCGGGAAGCCATGGACGTCGAGAGGCTGCAGGAGGCGCTGAAAGGTGGGGGTAGCTGCCCCCCTCTCCCTCCCTCCTCATCCTCCGCGGCCCTCTTGCCTCTCTACCGCTCCTCCTTACCCGGCGGGCCGCTCGCAGCGCCTTGCCGGGCTGAGGGGCGCGCTTCCCCGTGCCCATCCCCCTCCCGCCTCCCCAGGGGCGGGGAGCCCTGTGGGCAGCTCCCTCCCGCCCCGCTCCGGGCTTTGTGTTGGCCGCCGGCGTCTGCGCTGGGGGAGGGGAGCGGGGACGCCCTCGGGGGGCCGAGCCCTTCTACCCTGTCGGGGTCCCACGGGGGGGCCCGCACCCTCCCACCCCCCTTCCCCCCTCAGGCTCCGTGCTCCCTAGCCTCCCCCGCCCTGCGCATGCCAGAAGTCGGGGTGATAGAAAGTCAAAAGGGGGGGCAGACGGAGGAGGGGCAGAGCAACTTTAAAGTTGCTGGGGAAGCCTATTTGAGGGCTTCTGAAGTCATCCTTCAACGCGCCCTAATTCTAAGGTGGTCGCCTTCTAAGCAACAGGCTTGCGAACAGTGGTTTCTCAAACTTGTAACAGTGTGCTTTTCAGAATTCTTTGACATCCAGGCTCATTTGGGGATGGCTTACTTGGGGTACCTGGTGTTTCTTCAAAAGGCAGATTGGTTGTGGACTTCACTTAGGTGAATGATTGGTGGGAGTTGGGGCCTGGGGATTGTTATCTTAACCAGATTCCCACATCAGTGTGATGTAAGTGTTGCCCTAGGCCACATTTTGAGAACCCACTAATTGAAGGATGGTTTGGAAAGCTGAGTGACCCCTTTAGGAGGATTCTTGTCTGTATGTCGTGTGTGTGTGTGTGTGGGGGGGGGAGGGTGCGGGGGGAATGATGCCCAGGTGAGTATTTGGTCAAGAGTGTGAGTTTTTAATTTGCTTCTTAATATGGAAAAGGACCAAGAATAGAGTTTGTTTTTAGAGGGCATTTGAAAAATATTGATAACATTTCTTTTCTTCCCTTGTCTAGATTTTGAGAAGAGGGGGAAAAAGGAAGTTTGTCCTGTTTTGGATCAGTTTCTTTGTCATATAGCCAAGACTGGAGAAACAATGTGAGTTGAAAACATGCATTTGTTGTTAAAGACCTATTTATCATTCACAATTGCTTAGGGAAGGAGAAGAAGGTGTATTTTAGAAGAATTAAATAATGTATCTGTCTAAATCGGGGAAGTCCTGATCATTTAAAGAATGTAGTAAGTATATTATTCTTTATGCATTGTCTACAAGGAATTTAAAAAATTAGTTTGTTAAAGTTTTCTATGTATTATGCTTTGGTGTACTTAGAGAACTTAATGTCTGAATGAACCAGAGGAAAGAAGAATGCCTATTCCTTTATGGCCTTTTTGGCCATGCCTAACAGGTTTATTCACAGAATTTTGTGGCTTTGATTCTGTTTTAGATATTTTTGTTGTTGGTATTTCTCGCATTGTTCTGTATCCAACCTTTTGTTGTCATATTTATATGTGGGGGTGTTTGAAGTATAACTGCTGTTGTCTTCAGAATTCAGGGTGATTATCTGACAAGTTCCAGATGGTAAAGTTTTGACTGAACTGTAAACTTTCTAGGATAGCTAAACTTATTACATATGCTCAACATTTTATTAGGCTTGTTTCCAAATGTTTCGAATCCAAAACTTCAATAATATAAAGTTAGGGCTAATTTATTGTTCTGTGATTTGTGAGATAGGATTTGCTTTTACCCCCTGGCTAAGTTAATTTGAAGACAATCTCAGTGTCTTCCTCATGGTCTTTGGGCAGGGGTCGGATGGGGAATGCTAAGGGAAAAGCCCCTTGTAGTGGGCTTTCTGCTTAGTCTGAGAGTGCAGCCTTCCAGTGATGAATAACTTCAGCGTTTATTATCTGACCTTTATTTCTCACAAGATGTGCTTATGATTGTAGTCTAAGCCTTCTAATAACTTTTAACAGTCATGTACACAAGCTGCACCTCGTTAGCGGTCCATTAAAATATACCGGTCAACTAAACATGCCTGTGATATGTTTAGTCTTAATGTTTCTATTTATTATAATTGAAAAATGGAACCTAGTAGTGAAAAAATCGTTATATCTCTCTGTTAAACTCTTTTGTAGAACAAATTGATGGACTGGGGGTGTAACTCAAGTAGTAGCATGCTTGGCTCAACTACCAAGCACAAGGCCCTGTGTTCAATCTCCAGTACTGGGGGGGAAAATCCTATGTTCCCAGCTACTTGAGAAGCAGAGACAGGAGAATCTTCAGTTTGAGGCCAGCTGGGCAAAGTTAGCAAGACCCTGTCTCAAAAATAAAAAAAATGAAAGCATTGGGAACAAAGCTCAAGTAGTAGAGTGCTTGAGGCTCTGAATTCAGTCCCCAGTACTACCCCAAAATTAAAAATAAATAAAAAACTGATGTCACTTACTGTATAAACCCAAAATGACCAGGTACCATCTTTCAAAAGTAAATTCATCCCCGAAATACAAATGCTTAGAATATCCCTGTTCTTTTTGAATTGCTGATTGTTCAGACGTATTTCTCTGTGTAATACCAAAAGGCATTTTCAACAAGTTTTTCATCCCCAAGATTATCACAAACTGGAGATAAATACTTAATATCCTTTATTCAGTTTATCAGGTCTGTGTAAACTGCTTTCTCGTTTTGGTAAAATACATTGCCTGTAAATGTATAAATAAATATAAATTGTTGAAAGTTTCTAAAAGGGAACTTTTTGATATCCTGCCCTACTGGATCACAAGTAACTGGGGAAATTAACCTGATTTTGTTGAAAGTCATTTTGTTCTGATAGAGGACTTAAAGCCACCTCCTCCCCATTCTACATTAGGTGCTTGTATATTAAATATTTAGCTGTTTTGTATGGAAACAATTGGTGTTTTTTAGATTCTTTACTCTTTAAGGGGTTTGGAAAATATTTTTTATTATTCAAGCAGTTAGTGTTGATACATTGTTTAGGTTTAGGATGCTGTACTCTGCCCCTCCCCCCATATTTATTTATTTACTTACTTTTTGGCTGTGTTGGGGATAGACCTGGACCTTGGATATGCTACGCCAGCACTTGGCCACGGAGTCACACGCAAGCCCAAAACAGTGATTTGATTTATTTTTTGTCAGGATTGGGATTTGAACTCAGGGCCTTGTGCTTGCGCACTCTACCACTTGAGACATGCCTCCAGCCCTGTTTTATTTTTTATATCACTGCTGGGGATGGGATCCAGGGCCTTGTGTATATGGTAGGCAAACATTCTACTGTTGAGTTACATTTCCAGCCCAGTTTCTTTTGAAACTGAAATTAGTAATTTTCTGTCTTGCCTTTATGATTAAAGAAAGCTTTGCCTACTTTGTAAAGATGCTTCTTTTGAAGAAAAGCTATTCTAATCTCTTAGATGTTTTTGGGTGTGTTGGCTTAAGTTAAACATTGCATAGTTCTGGCCATTTTCACTTACATGAATGCAAGGAAGTACTAACAGAAGTACTTGAAACTCTGTTTTTGGATGAACATTTGACAGTACAAGGCTAATTTTCTTTTCAGAAAACAATTGATTTTACACAAGTTCTTAGTAAAGTATATACTTGTACTGAGGAAAAGGTTGTAGAAAAATTAAAGAGGTTTGGACAGTTTTTCTTATTCGTTTTTAAAGATTACAAATATAGGAAGGTAGGGAAGATGCCAGGACATTGGGTGCTAAATTGTTACGAAGAGTGTACTGTATTTATTTATATATGTGTTTGTGTGCATTATTACTATATATAAATTGTAATGAAGAGAGGTACTATACATATGTATATGTACATTTAGAATAATCCCAAATTGTTTCTCTTTTTTCCCCCAAATTGTTTCTGACCACTTAAATTTTTTGTTGTTGTTGTTAAGCTGATGACTTGAAACATTTTCTTGAGCAGTGTTTATTTTTCTGAAGCTAACGGTTTCTAATGATGCAAAGTATATAGTATGTGTTGAATAAACAGAAATGTAGTGGATTTCAATCATGAATTTAAACATTTGATAGGTTTCAGTTATGGATATTTGATGAGTTTGAGTTTCACTTGTCCTTTTGATAGTCAAATTGTCTTCCATTTGATCCATGGGAGCCTCTTCCTGTTGGCTCCAGAATCCTTTTGATGTGACTGTAGTGTAGGTTGCATCCTTGTTCTGTACTATGAGGATATGTTCTAAGCTCACTTCCTTCCCTAGACTTGGCATTAGCCATTTTTTAATCAGCCTTGTCTTTTGGAAGGAAGTGGTATTTAAGACTAATCTGGGTGCTGGGGATGCTTACTATTGTTGAGATGGTGCTTCTTAGCCTGTTCAGTGGACAGAGCTTGTAAACTGAGACTTGCAGTGTGAAGTCAGGGGTACAGAGTTACCGGCTCTTTTTTCCTTTTTGGTAGTGCTGGGGATGGAATCCAGAGTCTCATACATGTTAGTCAATTGCTGTACCACCAGGCTACAATCTGAAGCTCATGCTTTCCTTGGGAGGGGGGAGGTGTGTGTGTGTGTGTTGCTGAGGAATCCAGGACCTCATGGATGATAGCCAAGTGCTTGGGCACAGAGCTCCACCTCTTGTAGATACGGAGGGGTTTGTTTGTTTTTTTTCTTTTCTTTTTGGCTGTTTGAAACAGGGTCTTAATGTAGCCCAGGCTGGCTTCTTTCCTTCAGTCTCAACCTCTAGAATGCTGGGATTGTAGGTATTTGCCACCACATCCTGCTTGGAAATGAAACCTCGGCGCACTTTTTATTTTTTTGGGTGGGAGGACAGTACTGGGGAGTTGCACTTGGCCTTACATTTGTTAGGCAGGTGCACTTGATCTCCACCAGCCCTTTTTGCCTTGGTTATTTTTAAGATAGGGTCTCCCTTTAGACCCAAGCCACACTAGACCACCATCCTTTGATTTGTGCTTTCCTGCATAGCTGGAATGATAGGTTTATGCTACCCAGCCATTGGCTGAGATGGAGTCTGTGTGGAATTTTTGCCAGGGCTGGCCTAGAACGTCCATTCTCCTGATCTCTGCCTCTTGAGTAGCTAGGATTATAGACTTGAACCACCTTGCCTAGAGTGCCCTTGAATAGTTCATGCATGTTAATCCCATTTTTTTCCCCAATTAAAAGTGTTCCTGTTGCTTTTAACCTTGTAAATCTATTTTCCTTCACTTCCCTGAAGTTTTTTTTTTTTTAAGTGATTTTTCTACACTATTTTAAAAAGCAGTTTAAAAAATAATGTTGGACATTTTGGGTCAGTATATTTGTAAGTTTTTCAAATTTTTTTTTAATTTTATGGAAATGGTTCTTGAATTATTTACTTTGATTTTCTTTTTCAAGGACTCCTTGTAATTTTATATGGAATCTTTGCATATCTTTAGTATTTGTCCTTTTGTCTTAAATTCTTCATTCCTTTTTTAAGAAATGGCATTGAAGTATAATTGACATACAGTATATCGCATTTATTGAAAATGTACACTTTGCTAAGTTTTGCATCTACACTCATGAAACCATCACTTACCAACATTGTGAGCATACGCATTTATTACTTACAGAAGATTCCTCATGTTCCTTTTAATTTTTCCCTCCCTCTAAGCAACTTTTTGTCCATTAGTTTGCATATTCTTGAGTTTTGTATAAATGGAATCATACAGTATATTCTTTGGCTTTATTTAGTCCACATAATTATTTTGAGATTCATACATACTGTTGGGGATATCAACACATTATTGCTTTAATTTCTGAGTAGCATTCTCTGTATGAATATGCCAGTTTTTATACATTCACCAATAATGGGCATTGCGTTTTTTTCCTTTGAGATGGAGTCTCACAAACTTTTTTTTTTAACCTGTGCTGGTCTTAAACCTTGATTCTCCTGTTCAGGTAGGATTGCAGGCTTGAGCCAACATTCTCGGCTTGATCTGTTTTTGAACAAGCCTTTCTGACTGGCTTTTGTTGGCTGTGGTGATGTTATTTTGTTCTGTATCATTTTTGTTTTAGAATAACTTTGCAGTGTACTTGACCTTGATATTCTGCTGCTACTCATTTTTGTGTGAAATTAGTTTTTCTGAACTTTTAGGAGAA